AAGTGAGTACCACCCAGTGCTAAGACCTTATGTATTTGGGTGGGTGTCCTTCCCATCACCTCCCTGGCCATTAGCAGCACAGAGTTACTCGTATCACATACCAAGATCATACTTTAGATAGTAATGGAATATACATCACTAAATGACAGCCTAAACACCTTTCCATGTCCAGTAAGTGTAGATTTACTATTTTATAATTTTATTTTTAAAAACTTAACATTCTGCTAAAATTTATCATATCATTCCTATTCGCGTGCATTTTTCACACATATACAAAAGTACTGCATTAAAGTGTTACCTAACTCTAGAATTCTATTCCTCTCTGGGATGTGCTCCTACACAGCAGAGAAAGCCAGGCTTTCACGTCAGATCTGAACTGAAATCCTGAATTTTGCCAGTTACAGCTTTTCTGACCTCAAGTCCTGCTTGAGCCTGTTAGCCTCATGGGCAAGAGAGAGGAGGGATGAGGGCTTGTATAGGAAGTGCTGGCACATGGCAAGCATTAAATACTTTTGCCTTTTCAAAACATTTTTCTAAATTAGGTTTTTAGCTTCATGTGAGAAATTAATCTCATGAGAGCAAAAGAAATGAATATACAACTTGACATTGTTATACTACCTGACAGCTGGCTGTAAATCTAGGTCTTCTTGATATTATGTTTACCAAAAATGAAAAAAAGACTCAGAACAACTCCTTGTTACCTGTCCTTTACAATGCTATAGAGTTTTAGAAACAATTATAATATAAGAAGAAACTAAAAATCTTTCTTAATTGTTTTTTTTGGTTTTGGGGTTGTTTTTTTTTTGGTACTGGGGATTGAAGTTGGGTCCTTGCGCTTATGCAGCAGGCGGTGAAACCACTGAGCTAAATCCCAGCCCAATCTTTCTTACTTGTTAAATAAATATTGTTGAATAAGTAAAAAGAATAAAGTAGTTAAGGTCTCTAAGACTATGCTTTTGAAAATTAATCAAACAAAAATAGAGATTTTATATAATTGAAAGATCCAAAAATTTTAAATAATTATTAAACACTAGAACAAATCCTCATCTTATATATGCAGAGTAAGTCCACACTAACTTAAGTTGGAGGTATAAGAAACAGGTTTCTTGTCTGATTCTTATGTTAACCATACACAGATAACCATAAGAGGGAATAAGATCAGAACAGTGCCTCTGAAGAGTAAAGCAGGATAGAGAGAAACTTGATACAGAAACCACTTCTATCACCCTAGGCAGACTGTGCAATTGTTACTATTACAAGTGATATTTTAAAACACACAAATCTGGGGAACCTCCAAATACTTGAAAATTAAACAACATAGTTCTAAATACACAATGGACCCAAGAAAAATAACATGGAAGGGCCGGGGATTTAGCTCAGTGTTTCCGCCGCCTGCCTCGCAAGCGGAAGGTCCCAAGTTTGATCCCCGGTACCAAAAAAAAAAAAAACTTGGAAACTGGAAAATAATTTGAACTGAAGGAAAGTGAAAACA